GAATTGGGGTCAATTTCTCCATCCTCTATGTCGTCGTCAACGATCAGTATTTCGGGGTTCGGTTCCTGTTTCTCCGGACTCTCCCGCTTGATCTTGGCAGGTTCCTTTGATGTTTTTGTTGAGGATACTGTAAGTGTGGTGGAGTTGTTTTTAGTGTTTTCTGATGAACGTGGTGGTGGCGGATCTAGCGGAGCTTTAATCGGTATTGTAATCGGTGGTGACGGAGATGGAATTTCGTCAATTTCCATATCAATATCATTAGGTAATGGAGTTGTGTGTTTATTATGATTAATTGGTGAGTGTTGTTCAGTTTGCTCTCGTTGCAACCTGAATTCGGAAGTCATTTTCTCTATTGTCATTCTAAGTTTTGAACCTGAATTTGAAAATGCAATTGAGTTTGATACGCATTTTACCATTTAAATATTTCATGAAACTAATGAATTTTACCATCGTTGTCTAACTCGACTTTGACAGGCTGACCGTCAGAAATTTGTTTTCCATTAAATCGAATGACGGCTTCTCTTGCTGAATTTAAGGCCGTGCCTTCGATTTCCCCGAAGTATGTGATCCTCGCTATGCCAAGGCTTTGACTGTTATCTGGGTTCTTTTCGATTTCACAATCTTTTACAAGACCACATTCTTCAAAAAGTTCACGAACCGACGATTCCGTCATAAAACTGTCGAGTGCACACACGAGAATTGATGCTTCGTTGCGATTTTTTGGTCTCGTGTCGTTCTAATATATATATATTTTTTTAAAAAAAATAAATATTATTTAAAAAACATGAAATTTCAACAAAAATACACAGCTTATTCGTTTCCTAAATACCTCATAGCTGAGTACTTGCAGTGAACTGCAATACTTATGTCGTTTTGTGACTATGTTTATGGCATAATTTCGATTAACGCGTGGGTCCCCTAGAGGTCGCTGAAGTTGCTATAATTTTTTTTTGAAGATTCAAGGTAAATTATATAATTGGTAGTAATAACAAAGGAACGAAATATTAAATTAGACACACATTAGCATTGTTGAGATCGCAAAAAATAAATTTATATTTACATGTTCTAAATTTCTTGCCACGGCAGTGTTCGTTTCCTCCAACGTCTCAGAAGAAAGTTTGGGGTCATAATATATTATTGACTCTTCTCCTTGTTGAGCATCTTCTGATAGACTTGATGTCGCATTTAATGTGGTAGAATGAGAATGAGTTTTAGATGGCTTTAATATAACCTTCGTGTCGAGATCTACTTCGAGCTTTAAGAAGAATTCGGGGACAGTAGTAAAATTGGAGGATGTGGTGATCGATACGATATTATTTGGTGAATAGACGACATCTGACATGTATTCTTCCTCCGACTCTTGCAATGGCATTTATGAAGGTATCGGTAAGTGACTTTTAAGGAAGAAACTGAAAATTTACTCAACAAAGATGGTCGAAGAGATTTCCTTTGGAAGTTGAATTAACATTAACTGCCCGAATATTTTTATTTATACTAAAATTGGTGTAACGTCACGCTGTAATCAATCTTTCGGATATTAGATCACATGATTAAAATGTACAACCTTATTCATCTTATTTATGTAACAATATAATGATCATTATAAATCATAGCTTTTTTCTTAACACATTCATTATACACATTGTATAAGTACAATAAAAAATATGCTAAGGTGTGTACATTATTCACAGTGATATTGATTATTAAACACAAGTAATTATTTGATTACTAATTAGAAAATTATTATTTTATTTTAACTATTTAATATATAATATAATTTAAAAAAAAATTAAAATTTTATATTTATAGTATTTATATTATAATTCAATAATCAATTTATTTAAATTACGTATATAAAATTTTACAAATATTGTTTTCGATAATTTAAAAATAAATTTCTTATAAGTTATATATTGTATATTATATATTATATAATAATATTTTTTTTTAAAATTAAAATTTTGTTTTTATTTATTTATTATTATTGTTATTGTTTTAATTTACAATAAAGCTAAAGTTATATATTTATATTTATTTTTATTTTCTGTAAGTAAACATTATTTTTTTATTTAATTTGTATAGAATTAATTATATATTATAAAAGAAATAATATCACTTATATATAACAAATAACAAGTTAAATATATAGGGTGTTGCAAAAAAATCCACAATTATATTTTTATTTGTAACTTAACAAAAATTATTTTAAAAAAAAATAATAAATTTAAATATAATTAAATCAACATCTATAGAATAATTTTATTTAGAACTACTTTAGTAA